TTCATTTTTAATGATATACATTTGTTTTGTTTACTGGTAACTTGATTACTAATTAAGATAGAAATTTAAATTTACAACTAAGCTCCGGTTCTGTTAAAAAAATCGCTTCACAATCATTTCAATTGAAGCTTGAACATTTTGAGAGTTATTGATGATGATGATGATGAAGATTATCATTGATGTTGATGATAAAATCTCATTGGAATAAGTTTGAAATGAGATTATCATCATCTATTTGAGTGATTCTTGAAGATAATTAGTATATTTATTTATCGATAGTAATGATTATTGTTTTATAATTAACGGTAGATAAGAAAAGAAAGTTGAAAATTGTCATTTCTCATCATCATCATCTCTCAAATTATTATTATCATCATTATCTATACTTTTGCTTGCAATCCAAATTGTTGATACTTTTTAACCAGTTCTCGAGTCTGTAATCATATCTAACCGGAAGTATTATTTCAAATTGTCACATATGCGTATCACCATCATCTTCCTGGTCTATATTTAGATTCATCTTCATCTTCATCATCTTGTAAGAGTGAAAATATATATTGTATATATACCTTTTAACCCATGAAAAGTTAAAATCACCTAAAAGTATCATTCTTATTCCTCTTCCTGTCATCTTTAGACTCATTCGTCTTGAAGGAAGATAATTTCAACTATTATTTGATTATAGTTATGATGATATTTAAGATTGAATATAATTTTCAAAACAAAGAACTCATAACAAGATTAACAATTTAAGTATCTAACTCATCAGTTAACTCCCAATATCCTAAGCATTTTCCTCTTGATGAGAATTATTTTGTCATCATCATCATCATCATCTCTCTCTCTCTCTCTCTCTGATTCTTTTCATCATCTTATTGTTTACAGAAAATATATTAATCTCCTGCTTCATAATCCCTTTTGATAATCTCTCATCATCTTCATACATCCTTGAACTTGAAATGTTAAATATAAGTAACAATTTTGCTAATTAATTCATCATTATCACTTATGATAAATTTTTACTCCCTCATCGTTATAATGATGATGAAGATGATTTTTTTTATTCATGTTAAAATATCAAATTTCATGATACATTTTCAACATGATAATTATTATTATTATCTGAATATATTTAGGCAAAGCTCAGTTTCAGATGATATTTTGACCTCAATATATTGTTATTATTATCATGAACTTTTTAAAACATTATCTTTCCCAGCAAACTAATTGATGAGTGATTAAATTACTAATTTAAATTAACGATGATCAACTTATTTTTACTGTTAATTAACAATTTATATTGCGGTTTTTAATTGAAATTATTATTGAAGCGTAAACTAAACTAACTCAACAAAAAAAAACTTTGCCAATCATAATCATCTTGATTGCAATTGGAAACTAATTGCAATCCAAATCAATCAATAATAATTTAATTCTCATATGGTTTTAAATAATTGTTTGTATTATTATTAGTTAGCAAAGTAAATTAATTATAATCATGATTGAAAATAATTTACTAATTCTCGTAAATCTTGATGATTTACAATAACCAATTGAAACGAAAGTGATTTAATATTTATAACTAATCACTCTGATTGTTAGTTAATTGTTTCAAGTGGATCAATAAGGTTTCACCTTCTTAATTTGTTAATTGTGCAAATCGAGCAATTATCTTGATTGTAAATTGGCAAACAATTTTGACAATCAATACATTTTGTAAATTCTGTGTATAACTTTTAACTCGTGAATTATTATCATGATTAAGTTAATTTTAGTTTCCATTTTAAATCACAAGTCATGATGATGATTCAATCCTGATAACATTAATCGTCTTACACATTCATTGATGATTAAAGCAATCGCTTAATATCAATACTTGACAAGGAGATTATCCTTTGAAACGTATAATCTTCTAGTCAATTACAAAAAGATACCTACTAGTTAATAGAAATGATTTAAGATAAAGACACATGATGAAGATAAATGATGATGATGATCAGATGAGGAAGATGATAATATTAGGTTGTATTATTAAAGCATTTGCTTCATTGACAATTGTAATGATATACAATTACCTTTGCAACTTTTTACAAAACTATTTTCAAAATATGAACATGATGATGATGATAAAGTTAATGATGATAATTTTCATCACCATTGACAATCAGCTGTTTGAAAATTCAATCTAGTTTTCATTGATTAATATCCTGTTTGTATATCAATTTATCATGTTTATCGATAGAAGATATTGATTTTGATTTATTGGTCTGTAATTATCAATTTATTGGTTAATTGGTTTGATTAGTTGAAATTGTTTACTTTGTTATTTGATTGTTTTTGATTATCAGCAAATGATAATTTGTTTATAAGTAAAAGTGATAAAGTTACCTTAAGAAACTGATTGTTATCATTAACAAATCAATGACCTTTATTGTTTGTCCTTGTGTATGTGTTTGTAACAATGACCGTTAGTATAAACTGACCAAAGGTCACTAATGTGACAATATTATAAGACAATATATCATATCATAATAAGCATGGTAATGATGATAATATTGATTATGATGATAATAATACTTGATGAATACTAAGCGTTGCAATTTAATGTTAAGAAGTTAATTTGAACGCACATAGAGGATCATATGAGTGTCTTGTTTCATACTTATATCTAAAGCTAATAACTCACCTCCCATCTGCTCAAATCTCCATCATCTTCATCCTCTCTCTCTCTCTCTCCATCATCATCTTCATAATCATCTATCCAACAGCAAAATCTGTCGCCATTTTTTACGTTGACTGTTGATTGTCGTGTGTCTATCATTTTGTGTTTGTCTACTTTACATACACCGTTTACATTGTGACTGATTGTGACTCTCTCTCTCTCTCTCTCTCTCTCTCTCTCTCTCTCTCTCTCTCTCTCTCTCTCTCTCTCTTCGATGATGAAGATGTATTAACTCTGGTATGCAAAGTAAAATCCAAGGGCCAACAATTTTTTTTGTGCATCATTTGTATGCATCATTTGCACCAGAAATTAATTACAGCGTCAAAATATTACTTGCAAAATAACACGTAGATACAGAAAAGGAGAGCATAATGTGAGAGGGGTTCGGGCAAAGAAACAAATTCTAAAAAGAAAGAAAGAGAAGAAAAAAAGTAAAAGTTCTAAAAAAGAGAAAGAAAAAGATTAAAGTCTCGTCTGTTTGGTGATTATGTTTATTTTATATTTACTTTTAGAGAGAAAAAAACACGCAAAAATGGCCTTTAACGGAGCGTTGAATATTTAAGCTAAATGGGATTCTCTTGTTGCCTCAATATTAATGATTAAGGTTGAGTTTTTTTCCTCCTCTCTTATGGGTCTGTGTTTAAGCCTCACAAAATCTAAAGGCAAAAGTTGTTAATATAACAAACTACATGCACACACAATAATCATAAGAATAATAAAAATACAATGGTTGTATTGATTATGATGATTATTACAATTCGTTACCAAAGAAAAGGGAGAGGGAGTGAAAGCAGATCATCATATTGCCAATGTATGTGTTGGGTTAGTGGAAGTGGTGAATGGGCTTAGGTTTTTAGGCCGTTAAAGTCATAAAAACGACACGTTAAGTTTATTTGAACAAACAATCAAATGATAAAATATATACAGAGAGAAATATAAATGGAAATACAATTGATAGACTTTATCAAAGAAGCTTAAGTTGAAAGCTGTTTGCGATTTTCAGTTGAAGATGTGGAGGGAAGATGAGGAGGAGAAGAAGGCGGAAAGATGAGGATGGAGAGAAAAAGGTTTAAAGAGAAGAGAAAAGTTTTTGTATTAGAAAGGAAAGTAAGACAATAGAATCATTTTTCATTAGGGATTTTAATTATTGTATCATTTTGATGATGATGACTTTCCAACAATTTGAATTGTGTATTGTAGTTGATAGGATCTATTGTAATTTGGAACGCCGATAGTATTTGATCAACTATTACATCGTCTAGTTTACTTTATGTATCGAAATATATTTAAATTGTTTCAATATGATTAAGATTTAGTTGCAGATATCTTTGTGTTATCCTTAATTATTTGGGTAATTTAAGGTTAATCAAGTTGATTATCAACCAAGTGAGACAATTTATTTCAAATGTATATGATTAGCTAAGGTTACAAAGAAACAAATATTATTAAATTAATTTAAATCACTAAAAGTAACCACAATTTATGTAATAGAAGGTGATTTTGTAAAATTGATTTGTATCTCTTATCAAATTTAATTCAACATCAATCAAAAGTAATCGTATTGATTATTTGACTTTTCTGGTTTAACCAAAGTTTAAGCTCAAAGCAGAAAATTATTGTCACATTAATAAAATTTGTCAAAATATAAACATGATGACAATGAAGGAGAGAAGATGATTATGATGATGATAATGTATTAATAATAATCACATGGAGATAATTTAGTTGATTAGGTTAATGAATATCCGATGAATGTGATTTCTAGTGATTTCCACCACCACCAATAGTTGACATTTTCAACAATTCCTGAGATGAGCATAATTGTAAGATGTTTAAATGTTCAATTACTTTGGTTGAATTGATTTACACTGATTGTCAATTGTTATTCCAAATGGAAAATATTTTTATCCAAATATAATTAAACGTAATAAACAAACAAAAGCATATGAATCAAGATGGAGATACAATAAAGATGAGGAGGAAAAGATGAGGATGGAGAGAAAAAGGTTAAAGGTAGAAGAGAGTGAGAGAAATTTTTATAGAAAGGAAAGTAAGACAAAAGAAGCATGAAAGATGATGATGTTTGGAAGAGAAGAAAAGAAAAGTATCATTATTATGTATTAGGAAAGAACAAAGAAAGTTCCTTGTGATTTATGCTGAATTGAATTTCTCTCTATCATTTTCTGTTCTTTTCTTTCTTCCTCTCCCTCATCTCTAACTAATCATTAAATCTAATCATTGTTTTTGGGAATTTCTCTCTCTCTCTCTCTCATTACAGATCAACAATTAAACCTGATAAAACTTTACGTTTAGTTAATGTTACTCTTGAAGATGAAGGTGTTTACCTGTGTGAGGCTGGAAATCATGTTGCCTCAGCCGTTGCCGCTGCGACTTTAACTATTGCTAATGGTTTTTCTGCTACTGGTGGTGGTGGTGGTGGAGGAGTTGAACCCGCTCTTTATCATTCCATTGCTAAAGAACCTTATTTTATTGTGGGAGCGATTCTGTTAATGTTCATCCTTTGTTCAATTATAATGATTGTCTTTGCCCGTCAACATTTGGGCTGGAAAAAAGCGGTTGGTGCTTATATTACGGTTCAATTGTCAAAAGCTGATGAACTTGAAAAGGCTCGACATTTAAATAATACTTGTTCAAGTAAAAATTCATGGCTTTTGGAGACAACAACATCAGCGGCCATAAACTCACCCGGAACTACAACGGGACTTTTAATGGGTGGAAATGCAAGTGGCGGAGGAAATGGTAGTGCATCTAAATCATTCATCTCATCAGAATTGAGGAAAGGATCATCTTACCTTCATCATTCATCACCAACACCTCCACCATCTAATTCATCATCAGTTCGTATTGCAGGTTCATTATTTAGAGATTGTGATAATACTAAAGGAGGTTATCGTAAGGGTGGTTTCGGTGGTGGTGAGATTAAACCATTTAATCCTTCCCTTCATCATTATCATGACCATTTAACCACCAACACTTCAACTAATCTTGAAAGTTATCCTTCAATTGAGGAAGGTTATTATGCTGAAGTAGAAGGCTACTCTTCCCTTGTTACCTTTGGGAAAAAAGATTCATTAACAACAACAGCAACATCTACATCTACATCATCATCATCAACTACTGTACCAGGTAATATTGTGAACCAGAATAATTTAATCAACAATACAAAATCAATATCATCTCCTGCAACCACATCAAAAGCAACAATAATTGAGCCAATGGCTCCATCTATTGAACCCTATGCAACAACCAATTTAATCAATACTTATCATCATCCTAATTATCATCATCAACAACAACAACAACCTCAACAGTATCTTGAGCATAGAGCCTGTGATCAAAATAATTATCATCATCTTAATCAACAACAACAATCGAGCAACTATTATGGACTTCCCTTAACGGTAACAATTAATGGTTCCTCTGGAAATATTGTCAATTCGCCTTCACTTTCTCAACGTTACCCAATTTATCACCAATTACACAATAGTAACACTGAACATATCAACAATTATCATAATCATTCACCTTTGTCAACATCAAATCGATCAACAATTACCAATAATTCAAATAATTCAACAGCATCAACACCAACTCCAGGATCTGGTTATCGGAAAGTGATACTAAAAGATTCAAGATCAAAAGATCATCAATTACTTAAAAATAATCGAAAGGTTTTAATTACTGATGATCTTTATGCAATCCCTAATTGTGGACCTGATGATTTAGATGATAATTATGACGACAATGATGATGATCTTGACCATCAACATATTCGTCCACCTTCAGCAAACTTTTTCTTACCCAATACATGATAACGAAAGGAAAACATTTCTAATCATAATTTGTATAAAAAATGCGAATCACAATTAATCTGATTAATCTGATATATTGAATTAATTTATTTTCTCCTTGTTTATCAATATTTGTTCAATTACAATTTGATAAATTGTATTGTATGGATGCGTGATTGACCAGTTGACCACACGATCTAACCGATAATGCAACCAACTAATTTAGGACATTTTCATGTTGCATTGACTCCCAAAGTAAACTGGATTACTTAATCATCTTAATTATCATCATCATCATCTTTGATTATCATCTTTCTTATATTCCTACTTGGTGGCCTTTTCTTTAATACGTCAATAAACCAATACGATTTCAATGGATTTTCATTATATACAAATAATCAATGACAACGATTTAACCACATCATGAACACAATTAGAATTGACAACAACAATTAAAAATTTAGTAGCCAAGAAGTGATACAATTAATGATTATTTCTGATTAATAATCAAATCATCACATATCAATAGTCAGATAAATACTTATTCAAACTAAAGTTGATCCGAATCTCTTGTCACTGAAAATTAAATTGATAATCAAACTACTCAGGATAATCTAAATTTGCAACCATCATAATCATCATCAACTTAATCAATTCATAATCATCAATTAATTATTTGCTCATTACTCGGTATCCGAGTGGCAATGTTTTCCTGGTGTGTTTCCAGTTAATCATCATCATCATCATCACACATCAAAAATGACCCTAGTCCGGTTTTCCGGTTGATTGTTTTTCTACAAGATAAAAATGATACACATAATGATGATAATCATCACCACCAATGATTTAATTAATTTAACAAAACTGATTCCAACAGTAATAATTACTAATTGTAACAACAATTGAACCATTTTTATCAATCTCTAGGTAACTAAACGGATCCTAGTTTTTAAATGCAAACTTTTTGCTCTATGTAAGTAATAGTGATATAAATATAACGATATTATTTGACCTTATTGATTGACAATTAACTAATTGCAATGATGCAACCATTTTTTTTTGTACAAAAAAAAGCAAAATAAACAAATTGAAATTAATCAACAACAATCATCATAATCCATAAACATTAACCTTCATCTCGTTTACTGTTTACAGAGGATAAGTTTCTGAAACCCACCGGTGGAGGTTCAACCAGTGGTATCCTATTCCTATGTGAACCTTAAGGGAAATCATCCCTTATCTTCATCTTCCTCCTTATCATCATCATCATCATCACCCATTTTGAAGATGATAGAGAAAAGTTAATATTCTTTGCTCTTTATACATTTTCATCCTCTGCCTTTATCTTCATTTTCCCTTCTCATCATCTCTATAATTATAAAAAGGCAGTAACTCTCTCAAGTGGTTACTTTAATTTTCATCATCCCTGGGAAGATAACGGGATGATAATAATTTATTATCATCCTCAATTGATGATGTTAACTTTTCTGTCTAGATGATAACAAGATTAACACGCGTTCACTTCACATCCCTTGACAATTTATCCCTTGTCCTAATAATCTCTCTCATCTCCTCATCTCCTTCATCTTCCTCATCCTCTAAATATCCTTTGTTATTTCAGAGATTATGATAACTATGATTTGCAATTGGATTAGAAAAGTAAACAACCTTTAATATCTTAGCAATTGGCGATCGGATTAATTGTTCATCTTGATTGAATTCAAAGGCAAGAAAAGTTGATAAAATTTTCAATTTCATTTGTAACTCGGGATAAATTTTACAACGTAAATGTCCAAGTGCTGATTCTGTTGTGATTCAGTTTCAATTATTCATCATTTTCTATGGCGAGATAATTAAAAACCAAACTCGAAATAATTTTCTTAACAATTTAGATTTCATAAAAACTCGAATGGGCTTTTTATTATCGTGAATATCGTTGTATCAGAATCGACAGAATAATCTATTGAAACAATTTAGTTTTATATCGAACTTTATTTCACTAATTCGATAATAGATGTCACCACATTTACTGGCGGAAAGCAAATTGTTTGATTGAATTGAGCTTGGAAATGATTTTCTGCTAATGATTAAGTTAATTATATTTCCTTGACATGATTGTTATTAATCATTGTGAGGATGAAAAATTTATTAACAAGAGGGAGAGATGATTATAACTATCAGGTTCAAACAAAATTCATCTACAAAGAAGATGTAATGAAATATTTGATTATCTTTTTCAGTCTTATATTATTTTCATTGAGATTATTTCATCTTCATCATGATCATCATCATGTCTTTTACACAGACTCAATATTCAGTCTCAGTTTGTCTCTATTATCATGTTTCAACCTCCGCCCACAATTAACCCACAATAAGGTATATCAAAGTATCAAATACAAGAATCAATGAGAAAAACAAAACAACAACATCAAAAGAAACAAAAAGACAAAATCCCCAAATTAGATCAACAATTAGCTCTAATCAACTCTAATTGAATTATAATTATTCCTATGAAATGCTAATAAAGATAATTGGAAAGTTAAATTTGTGAAAATGTGATTGGAAGACAATTAATTAATCGGATTAAATTGTGATTCCCTGTTCGTAAAGATTAATAATCTTTCACTCCCAAGCCTTTGATATTTTTAATGATAATTTATTTATTTGTTTCTGCGTATCAATCAGAAATGATTTAATTGTGATCTCTTTTTGCAAATTAATTGTGATGAAAATTAAATCAATTGATTATTAATCAATGAATCTTTCTAATTAATGTGATATCTTTTATTTTACATAAGATTCAAAAGATTAATATTAGTAATCTTAATCTCTTTCTTGTTTGTTTTTGTTTTTACTAATCCTTGTAATTGAAATCAGTTTGTTTTTATAATCAAAATGATTTCTAATTAAATCCCTTTAATTGTTGTCATTTAATCAACATGGGAACTTGTTTTGGTAGATATTCATGTTCCTGTTGTAATTGCCTTTACCTTAAACAGCCTTGGTCATCATCAACAATCAGGTCAAGTGTCATGACCAGACAAAGTTCAACCCTTGAGTTTGAAAATTTCATGTACGAGTGTGACCTTCAGGTAAGTTTAATTACCTGAAATTTTGTTCAATCAAATGAATAAAAAATTCAATCTAATTGATTCATTTTTCCAATCAAATTTTCATCAAGGAACCAACAACATTGAAACTTCAACCTCGACTTAATCAACAACAGCAACCGCCAAGGTAAATATAAAGTTAATTGTTAATTTACGTCAATCAATGTGATCAATTAAATAACTAATTGACAACAATTAACCTTACAGATTGTATTTCTCTCACTCTCTCTCTCTCTCTCTTAATTTATTGATTGATAATAAGGTGTATTAATAATAACAATTGATTTTCACCTTTTCTTTTGTTTAATCAACTGATTCAATTTGATGATTAACTTTAATTACTGTTTTGTTTTTCTCGTTTTATTGTTACAGTATATCAACCGTTGTAAGATTTGATTCTCATAATGTTAAATTGGATGATTTCAAGGTAATTAAGATAATCCAACAATCAATTTAGTTGACAACTCGAAATATATTCACTTTCCAGGTAGAATGCTAAAGGTTACCTTGGTAACCAGAATTCTGTCTCAACTCTATGAGATTTTTGGCGAAAAAATCAAACATTTTATCCAACAAATGATTAACTAATTGTTGAAATTATTTTTTCTTCTTACAGTTACCAGTCTATTCTGATAAATTTGATGGTAAATTGATGGTTAATTGTAACAATTATGATGGACGACGAGGGGAATCACCTCTTCTTGATCCAATACTATTAAATATCAATGAAAGGATAACCTCAAGTTCATCATCGTCATCAACATTAGGTGGAAGTGATTTAATTAAATCAGTTAATTCTAAAAGTGTTATGATGATGATGATGATGGGAATTAGAAGACAGAGAAGAAAAGAAGATGATAAAGTTAATTGTCGTTCTAATTACGATGGAAAATATAATTCTGATAATAATAATGTGACAATTGTTTCATCCGGATCAACAATTAATCCAGAACATAAAAAAGTTATCAACAATGTTGGTGTTGTTGTTGGTCAAGATGAACAACAATCAAGTGACCATTTAGTTAATTGCTGGGACCATGAAGTTAATAGTGATGGTTTAATCAATGGTAATGATTTAGAGTGGGATGATTATCAAGATAATTTAATTTTCACCGATGAAACTGATTCACTAATTCAAGATATTGAAGATTTAACTGCAAAAGCATTAAAAGAAACTGGATTAAATTAAATCATACTTGCCAATTGTATGAGAAACTAAATCAATTTAATCAAATCAACAATCAGCAAATTAGATCTCAATTTTTGGGAAACAATTTAATCAACACAATTAAAGCAAGAAACTGTTAATATTATCACAATTATTTAAACTTCCTTACAATTAATTTGTATTGCCTGTAATTATCATTGCTGCCTCATCAAAATTAATCAAAATTAATCAAATTTAATTGTAATTCTTTTAATTATATTAATATATATATAAGAAAAACAATTAAAGTGAAAATATAAACAAAAAATCATTTTATACAAATAAACAATTTAAATTAAAATGTGAAGGGGAAAATAAATTTCATTAAATTGTGATTGAAAAATTTACATAATTGTTGATTTGCAAACAATTAAATCAACCTAGATAAATTTATTAGGTTTAATTTATTGGGTTAGGGTTACATGATTAAGTTTAATCAAATTGTTTCACCGTTAGTTAATTGTTATGTTAGGTTAATGATAATATTTTTCTAATCATAATAAACCACATCATCTTCAATCTCATTTAATTGGTTGATTATTTACCAAATTTAATCTGATAATAGTTATAACAATCAACCGATAAATTTGACCCAAAAAAATTAACTCAATTTAGGAAACAACATTCAAATTGATTGACTTTTACACTGAAAAATCAATGGGGCAAAAATTGGGTAATTCTTGACCCACTGGTGTGACTATTTCCTGTTTATCATCATTATCATCATCATAATCATTTTCTAGATCATCACATTCATTGGATCTAATTAGATTATTGGGTGTTTAATTTAGATTGGAAATTTTAATTTCTCCTCATTTTGATTGTTTCATCATTCGGATTAACATATTTACTTTAATCTCTCAATTATCATCATCATCGACTATCTCATGGTGATAATGATGATTTCTCGAATAGAACCTGAGAGAATCCTTAAAGAATATAAAAGAAAACCAATATCAAACCAAATCTTCATCTGATTGTTATATTAATTAATCAACGATAATTAACTTTTCCATTTGAAAGAATTAGAAAACTTTCTCTCCAAGAGATGGCGCTTCCATCGACAGAATTACGATTTTAATGAAAAAAGATTTTTTAATTTTCTTCTTAATTTCTAATCATTTAGAAGTTTTTTTCTTCGCAATTTAAACTGTTCAATGAACTTATTAACTAATAATCGTGAGTTTTTTCAATATTTATATTATCAACTAGAGTTAGTTGATCATTTGACTGAAAGAAAGTGTTGAATCAATGAACCCGATCAATTTAATCATGAATATGAAAAAAAACTACCAGACAATTTAAACTAATCCTAACCAATGAATATAATCAACAATCAAATGGTTTGGGAAAAAAAGTCTTAGTTGACAATTTAAATTGAAGTTAAATCATTCAGATGAGTGGTTATAATCAACCTGATCATATTAATTGAATACAATTAAGAGTCAAGTTAAATGTAAATGATTTACCAATCATAATTATTATTACCATCTAAAGTGATTAACTTTTTTTTTTAATTTAACTTTAAGGCAATTGGACAGTAAAAGGATTGAAGCAATTAAACTAATCATCATCATCGTTAACATCAATTAAAAAAAAGGTGATGATAATAATAGGGTTTCCTTTAGTAAATTGTCAGTAATTAACTTTGCTAATGATTAGTTGATAATCTTTAACAATCAAGAAAATAACTCATCAATCAATCATTGGATTTAATCATCATCAATGTTAATCACAGAAAACTAAATCAAATCTAACGATTAACCTGATTGTTGATCTATCAATTTAACCTTCTAATTAACTTATACATCACAAATTACAAATTTTAATCGTAACAATTTAATAATAACAGTTAAATTAATTAAAGAAACAGGGTAACAACAGTTTCTAATTCAATGTTAATGTTGAAAACTTTTTTTTTTTAATTTAGTGATTTGAATTGTTCAAAGTGATTATTTAAATTTTGACATAAATCAAACTTTCAATTCCCAGAGTTGATTAATTGTCTGTTTAACTTGTTAAATAGCCTAAGGGTAAATAGGATGGAAAAAAAGAAAGAGTTAATTGTGAATTAGAATGAAACAATTTAAAACTGTTCATTCTGAGATAAATTGTAATTCAATTTGTCAGAGATTCATGAGAATCCATGAAAATTTAGTTCTGATTCAGTTTACACAACCCAAACTTGTACCTTGGTACCTAAATTGTAATTAAAAAATAGTCACAATTAAAGTAACACACATACAAACAATTGACTTTTGTAGACTGAATTTATAATTAAACTCACACGCTAATTTACCTGAACAATGTTGATATGATTAATTGCGATGATTAATTAACCATTTTCATGGAGAAACTCAAAATCATCACATGAGAGACATTCGTTACTTAAATCAAAATCAAAGACTACTAATAGTAATTAATTAACTGATTGTTGGATAATGATAACGATCAATTTTCACCTCAACAGTTAATGAACACTTGATTACACATTTCAACGTAAATTTTAAATTGTAATCAATGAGATTCATTGTAATATCGGTTATTGATTAAAATATTTTTTCCCTCAACAATGATAAGTGTTGATTCAAATTGAACTTTTTTTTGCTCATCTCAACTGATAATTTATTTTTCTCACATCACATAGATTCGTATTCAAACATATACAAACACTGATTATATGTATCATCATCTTCATCTTCATCTTCATCTTCATTTCTACAATTATCATCATCATCATCATCATCGCCTTCCTGATTACACTTACATACTAAATCTTTATCTTCATCTCGTCATCCTTATTGATTCAATCACTGTCTCTGTTCAACCTTAACCATGATAGTTAAACACACTTTACATGATGATAATCATCTTCATCACCATGATAATCATCCTGATAATTTAAGCCAATGAACTATCAATGTAATATATCAAAGGGAAGGTTAAAAATCTGATTTCCATTTGAACAAAAGTGAAAAGTTCATTGGTAAAAGTTTCATGTTGAATTCATTTTTCTTCAACAAAATTGATCAACAATAATTTCCCATTGATTAAATTCACACAGAATCAGTAAATTGTTTCCAAGATATTTAGGTATATAAATAAACTATCAACAGGTAACAATTTAGTTATTAATTTCAATTGATACCATTGATTGAATTTGTCTCTCTCTCTCTCTCTCTCTCTCTCTCTCTCTCTCTCTCATTTCAATATTGAATAACATTTTCCAGGTTTCATTGAATTGCCCTCAGGGTAAAATTAAAGTAAATCAATAATAATAATAATAATGTTAACAATTGATTATTGATACAATACTTTCCCTGTAAATTGTTGACAACAATTAAAACTAATCATTATGAAACATCATTTGTTGTTGTTGTTTGATTTCAATTGTTGGGTTAACAATGTTACTGATCATATTTAAATTGATTTCTCTTCATCTTTGTAGTTGATTAACTATCATCATCACCATGATTATTTTTGATTATCGTGTGATAATATTAATGTAAATTCAATTGTCATTGATTAGGTTGATGATCAGTGAAAATTGTTTGTCATTAATTACAATTATACAACAACAATTTTACAATATTATATGTGATCAGAATTTTAGAATCACTGATTTGATTGTTAGTGAAACCTGAATGATTAACTAATCATCATTCATTATCATCATTAGTATCACCATCATCATCATCATCATCATCGTCTCCTTCCTGTCTCTTTCTTATTGTTAATCAATTTCTTGTGTAACAATCAGTAACTACAATCAAGCTGATTGTTGTTGATTGAACTTGAACCTAAACTTTGGTTGAACCAGAAAAGTCAAACAATTAAGTTACGATTACTTTTGATTGTTGTTGTTGATTTACATTTGATAAGAGATACAAATCAATTTTACAAAATCAACTTCCGTTGATCATCAACATGAATATTGATTTCTGACAATCAACTAATCAGTTACAATCAATACTGTTTCAATAAGCAAAGGAAAAAAAGTTTTTCTTTCATTTTGAAAACTTTTTTTTTCCTTTAAATGTTGTGATCTGAATAGTTAATCAACTAATTGTAATTTATCATTAATTTTCAATCATAGTGAAAACAATTAACTAATGACGATGATGATATTAAACACTATTAAGGTAAAGTAAATTAATTAGTTTTGGTTTGTCCAATTGTTATAATTAAAATTGACGAGAAAAAAAAACGATAGGAGGAAACAAATGGAATCACAATTAACAATCAAATTAAAACTGTTGACCATCAAGTTAATTGTTACCTTTCACACTCTGATTAACTGATTGTTAGGATTAACTTTTTCAGTGTATTAGTTGTGGTTATTTTTAGTAATTTAAATTAATTAAATAAATTTCTTTCTATTCCTAGTTAATTATCTTATATATACATTTCTAAATTGTTTCACTTGGTTGATAATCAACATGATTAACCTTTAAATTACCCAAATGATTAAGGATTACAATCAATGATTTAAGTGGGAAAATAAAGTTTAATTAACTAAAATACAAAGTACAGTTAATTAATTTACTAATACTAACTACAGATTAACTTAAATTACAACAATCAACTTGAGGAAAACTAGATTAACACTGATAATACAATAATAATATGATATCAAGTGAATTAAATTAAATTAAATCTTATGTAATCAAATTAGAAACAAATCAAATCTTAATCATATTGAAACAATTTAAATATATTTCAATACAAATCTAAAGTAAACTAGATGATGTAGTTAATTAAATAATATTATTGACGTTACAATTTAATCACGCAAACGGATGTTATATGTATATAAAGTACAATAAACAATTTAAATTGTTGGAAAACATGATTAGTTGATTATCATCATCAACATGATACAATAATTAAACTCCAGGTAAAAAAAAACTAAACAAACAATCAAGGAAAATGATATTAACCGTTAGCCGGAAATGTTTAATGTTTGGTCAAAATTTTGTTCTGATTAAAAGTTAGATGACAATTAACTCGCAGCAACCAAATTAACCCTTAATTCAAGCGTAGTTAATTAAATTGTTGTTAATTTAACAGAGAAGTGGTTTCCATGATTAAAAGGATTGAAGATTGTGAAGATGAAGATGATAACATTACTTATAATCATCTCTCTTCCTCCTTCATCATCACCATGAAAGATGATGATGGTTGATATTAAATAGTGAAAATATTATCAACAAATCATTTGTAATATAAACAATTGTCTTCCATTCATCATCATCATCATCATCATCT